CTCTCTCTCTCTCTCGCTCTTCCTGGGTACCATGTCAAACACCATATGGAGTAAATAAAACCAGAGCAGGAGGAGGAGGAGGAGGAGGAGGCACTTTCTCTCAGTTTACCTTCAAATTCAACATTAACAATCACATCCATCACAAACACCAGTTTATCTAAACAGCACAGTAAACATTTACACTGAAACTAAACCTCAGCACTCCTCTAATACTCACACACAGGACTAATGACTTAAACCCCACATTCATTACTTTAATATCATTATAGCTGCAGCGCGCAGGATGATTGATTTATTCAGCTCTGATTTAATATTAATGGATCATAATAAGTAATTTAATTACAGGACTGTGCTGGAGATTGCTGTAGTGATCAATAGTGAGGCTGCAGTGTTCAAAAGTGAGTTTATATTGATCGTTTTGTGTCTTTTCTGTAATATTCTTACAATAAATTAGACTATTAATGATTGAAGCCTCTTAAATGTGAAGATTTGCTGCTCGTCTCTGTTTTATCTCAATATAGATGAAGTATGTTGGTGCTTTTTACTGCAGGAAATTCTAGTTGAACATGTGAAAATTAGGTATTTTCTCATTATTTACTAAGATTTTAAAATCTAAATGATTAATTAATTGAAGAAATAACAGATTAACCTATATAATGAAATCAATCATTATTGTCACTATGTAGTTACTATATTATTCTTCTATTTCTATAGTTACACATTAAGATGATTTGTCTTTCTCAGCAATAAAATCTTTTTGTCTCGAGTTGTTTGAGGTTCCAGAAACTTTAGATGCTGTAAAAAAACAGCTATATCCAGAATAAAGTTGTTTAAAGTGAGTATAGTATTGAACTGTGAATAGTATTCTTGTATTAATTCACTGTTAAATGATATCTCACCTATTTCACACGTTTTCCATTTGCTCCCGTCTCTTTCCTGCTGCACAGGAAGCCATGAGTTTTATTTTTTCAGCAGAATTTTTTAAGGAAATAGAAGAACACGTAACACTGCTGCTGTAACGCCACAGAAACTCAATTACAAAGCCAGAATGATGAAGATCATCACAAATATCTGATTACAGACTCACCAGCAGAGAGGATGCTGACTAGAATACGTATTATTTAATCATTTAATTCACTTCCTCATCTGCATCAATCAGAAGCAGCTTCAATGACATCGTCCACATCTAATCTTTAAAGTAAAGCCAATACAAACCGACAGCAGGTTTATTGTCCTGTTTATTATTAGGGTCATTTCTTTGCATTAAAAAAGCATATTTAAAATATACAGAGATAACAGACATTGATTAGCAATATAATCAATAAATAAAAAATCATAACTATAAACAACATATTTCAAGTTTCATCTTGTAAATATACACATACACTGGGTAGCAGTTTATTGCCTTGTGGAATGAGTCTGGGAGAAGACGGTGGTGGTTGGGGGGGTTTGGTGACGAACAACCAGCAGCATGTTTGAAATACCGATCAGCCGTCCTTTAAAGTAATCAGGGAGGACAGAGGAGGGACGAGCAGGTCCGCCACAAACCAGCAGGCTTCAGGTTCCAACTGGATTCTGCTTTTAGCCAAAGCATAAAGAAAGCAAACGAGAGCTGTGAAAGTCACATAAAGGAGTTAAAGTGAGCGAGGGAGGGAGGGGGGGTCC